CAAAAAAGAAAAATCTCGTGTCACGACCCCTGGAAAGGGTCCGTGAGCTAACATTCCATCTTTGAGCACACAGCACAAAACACATCTAAAATGGACACACGGATCTTACAGTGGAATGTGAGAGGACTTCTCTATAACCTCGATGATGTTAGAGAACTTCTTAATAAACATACTCCAAAGGTGCTGTGTGTTCAGGAAACACATCTCAAGTCCACACAAACAAACTTTCTAAAGCAATATGCCGTCTTCCGCAAAGACTGTGACGACGCTGCCGTTTCGTCGGGCGGTGTCGCTATAATAGTTGATGAAGGTGTTGCCTGTAAGCAATTAAACCTCCGAACTTCTCTTGAGGCAGTTGCTGTCCGAGCAGTGCTGTTCGGGAAGCTACCAACAATTACCTCTATTTACATTCCCCCGTGCTGTCAACTTTCAAAGACACAATTTCAAAGCATAATTGATGAACTTCCTCCACCATATATAGTCGTTGGTGATCTAAATGCATATAATCCCCAAGGGGCGACTCCCATTAAGATGCGCGAGGACGCCTAATAGAACACTTTCTGTTTTCGTCAGGTGCATGTCTACTAAACAAAAAAGAACCAACGTACTATAGCACTACACACAACACATACTCTTCTATAGACCTGAGTATTGTCTAGAGTACATTAATTCCATATCTGGAGTGGTACGTTCTCAAGAACCCCTTTGGGAGTGACCACTTCCCGATTATGTTGAAGCTAACAAAAGAAGATACATGCTTGCCTGACTTTCCTCTCTGGAACACCAAGTCAGCTAACTTGGAACTGTTTCGAGAAATTACATTTTTAGACGGAGATCACATTGCTTATTTTAACATAGACGATGCTGTAGCATACCTAACAGGTTTTATTATTGACGCTGCAGTGAAATGTATCAAGCAAACTAATGGAATCACCAATAAACGTCGCATCCCATGGTAGAACGACGATTGTCGGAAAGCGCGCAATAGACAAAATAAAGCTTGGAGACTACTCCGAAATTATCCAACGGTTGAAAACCTTGTCAAGTTCAAACAGGTTAACTCTCAAGCCAGAAGAACGCGTCGTATTGCAAAGAAAGAAAGTTGGAATAGGTACATCTCCAGTATAGATTCTTACACCGACGAAACGAAGGTTTGGAATAGGGTAAACAAGTTATTTGGTCGGGATTCACACCCCCTACCCTTGGTAAGTAGCCGAGGGGAGAGCCTGGAGGAGCAGGCGGACTGCCTAGGCGAACACTATGAATACGTCTCAAGTACATCGCACTACACAAAAACGTTCTTAAGATTCAAAGAACGCGAAGAGCGGCAACCCCTTAAATGTTAACGTCCATCCAGGGAGGCTTACAACTGCCCATTTTCATAAGCTGAACTTAAGGCATCTCTTGCGTACTGCAACAACTCGGCGCCAGGTGGCGATCGCGTAATGTACAAAATGATCAAGTATCTTCACCCAGAAGCACTAAAAACACTCCTAACCCTCTTCAATACCATGTGGGAAGCTTGATATATTCTATTGTCATAGAAAGAAGCGATAGTCATCCTGGTACTTAAACAAGGCAAAGACCCGTCCTTGGCCTCCAGCTACAGGCCAATAGCGTTAAGAAGCTTTTTATGCAAACGATATGAGAAAATGTTAAACCGGCGCTTAACCCACTTTCTAGAAATTAACAGTATACTAGACCCCCTTCAATGTGGTTTCAGAGAGGGGAGGTCGACAATAGACCACCTTGTTCGCATAGAGACATGTATCAGAGATGCATTTATTCATAGGCAGTTTGTACTTTCGGTATTCTTAGACCTGGAGAAAGCGTACGATACCACATGGCGATTCAGGATTCTACGCGATCTTGCCGCCATGGGCATCCATGGGAACATGTTAAACACAATTGGAAGCTATCTGTCTAATCGAACCTTTCGCGTAAAAGTGGGAAATGCTCTCTCTAGATCATTTACCCAAGAGACTGGTGTTCCGCAAGGGGGCGTGCTTAGTTGCACACTCTTCCTTGTAAAAACGAACTCCCTGCAGTCAGTAATTCCAAGCGCGATGTTTTATTCCGTGTATCTAGACGATGTGCAGATGAGTTTCCAATCGTGCAATTTATCTATCTGCGAACGACAAGTGCAGCTTAGAATGAATAAATTCTCTAATTAGGCGGATGAGAATGGTTTTAAAATAAACACCCAGAGAAGTACTTGCGTACTCTTCTCCAACAAACAAGGAGTAATGCCACTACTAAATATTGCGATCAAGGGAGACCAACTCTCTGTGAGCAACGAGCATAAATTCCTGGGAACCACTTTAGATTCTAAGCTCACGTTTATACCCCATATTAAACATGTAAAAATGAAATGTCTGAAAGCGATGAACCTCCCAAAGCTCCTATCACGTACAACATGGGGTAGTGATCGGAAGTGTCTCTTGAACTTGTACAAAAGCCTTGTCTGGTCGCGCCTTGATTATGCCTCTATAGTTTATCATTCCACAACGCCAAGTGCTTTAAACTCCTAGACCCCGTGCATCATATGGGTATCCAACTGGCAACCGGGGCCTTCAGAACAATTCCGATCCAGAGTCTCTATGTAGAGTCGAATCTGTGGTCACTTCACCTGCAGTGATCCTATAGCAGTTTCACTTATTTTATAAAGGTACGCGCAAACATAAAGCATCCTTCTTATTCAGCTATAAACGATATGACCGCTGCCACCCACTACCATAATCGACCCGCAGCGAGAAAGCCGTTCTCGTTGTGTGTGAGAAGCTTAAGTGAGGAAATGGGTGCTCCGCTGCTAGAACTTTGTCCTATGCCCACAACAAAACATTTACCACTGTGGCAGTGGCAGCTCATACATTGTGACACTTCATTTGCCGAGATCACTAAACACGCACCAGAAGCACATATTAAAATGCATTTCCGACAACTCCAGTCCAACTACTCATGCGTAGAGTTTTATACTGACGCTTCTAAGTCGCATGCAGGGGTGGCCTATGCAGCCGTCGGACCATCCTTCTCAGAATCCGGTGTGCTGCACCCGGAAACAAGTATATTTACGGCTGAGGGTTATGCACTATTGTCCGCTGTGAAGCATATACGGAAATCCAACATACAAAAATCCATTATATTCACAGACTCGTTAAGCGTCGTAAATGTATTAAGATCCCTTTTCAGATTCAGAAATCCGGTAATAATTGAGCTGTAATCTGTTCTGTGTACAGCGTATATGTCCAACCAGTATGTTACTATTTGCTGGGTACCTGGCCATAGAAGTATCAAGGGCAATGTGTTAGCTGACCGAATGGCCACGTTAATTATATTGCGCGCTATTAACCCCACCGCTACTGTCCCTGCAACAGATCTAAAACCCTTCCTACGTAAGAAACTGCGAAATCACTGGCAACGCTTGTGGGACACAGAAATAAATAATAAGCTTCATTTGATTAAGCCGCGGTTGGGTTACTGGCCCTCCGCTACAGGAACACGGCGAACTGATGTCCTATTCTGTCGCCTCAGAATAGGACACACTTATGGTACCCATAGCTTTCTGCTGACTAGCGATGAACCTCCCACTTGTGGTAGATGTGGCGACAGGCCAACCGTCCTCCACGTCCTGCTGGAGTGTGCGGAAGCTGAAAGGGAGAGAAATAAATATTTTGCTTTAGCATACCGCTATATTCTTCCTTTAAATCCGATTATGTTTCTCGGTGAAGAGCCGCTTTTTTATGCAAAATCAGTTTTAAGCTTTTTAAAGCATGTAGTATTGAATGTTTTTAGCCCAACATTGAATGTTTTTAGCCCAATAAGTTCATAGCGCATCCTCTGTTCAGAGGATGCCGCTGTGATAGCAGCTTTCAACGAGCCCAGGCCTCTATGCTCTTGTTTTAAGGGCTCTGTCGAGGCACTGGTGCTCCATGCCAACTTTTTATTTCACATACTTATCACTTTTAAACCATTTTATGTCTCCATAGTTCACATCATTTTTCATTGCCATAATTTTACTATATGAATAGTTTTACGCACCTACAGTGACTGTTTTAGGCCATTTACAGCCACGTCACATCTGTTTTATCTACACTGCACATCCCACAGTTCATTATCATCGCTCTGGCGCTCTTTGGCTATATCTGGCCCTTGCGCCAATAAACTCCACTATTCATTCAAAACATATGATCCTCTCTACCGGGTGATAAGGGCGCTCGAGACATTGTCCACTCTCCTCCTCTTTGCGGCCAAAGTACGTGTGATAGGTGAGAGCCACCGTGCGCTCACAGCAATATCTTGCGGATAATGTTGAAAACACAATAGTCCCCCCCCCCAGATGCCCACCAACAGTGTAAATAAGTAGTTGACGGGAATAGCTCACCATTTGATTGTTGAAGGACGTACCCCTCGGAAGCTCCGTGGTTAACGCCACGCACTCACGACGCGGAGCCCCTCAATCGATTGCGCCCGCCAGAGTCTGTTCTGGATTTTTTTCTTTTTTGTCTTGTCTTATATAAAGATACGTTTACATATACGGTGCATGATATCGACGCATACGCCCACGCCGACGCCGGTGGCGAAATCCAGCTGAGAGTGTCCTTGTAATTTCTGTCGCAATAAAACTTTGAATGATACGATAACACAATTGTCAGTCTTGCATACGTGGTTCGAAGACGATGGTAATTACTGGTATGTGTGTTCCTTATTTTGTACTTTTCGAAACTTCAGAAGATAAGTTTCAAGGCTTTCTGTATTGCCTTTCACTGCCGAGTCTGAAGATTTTCTCGCCATTTGGTATGCTGGCACGTAATGGTGTTGTCCCAAACAGATGCACGCGGCTTTGACCCCCCCCGTCCCCTCTACTGCTTTATGGTGGGAAGAAAGACATAAATATATTATTTTAGAAGCAAGCACAAAATACTTAATCAGTAACTACTGTCAAGTGTTTTCTTGCTTTATTCCAAATGGCCATTCTGTATTTCTTTTCTTTTTATACCCAGAGATTACATGAACCGTATAAACATCAGCATATTTGTTTACTATCAACGAGCCCAACCTGCATCGCTCGCAGACAGCGAAACAAGAAAGGAAAGCCTCTCCGAGGCCCTTCAGGACTTACTTGTGATTACCAGTATTACCCACGTATGTAAGTAGCGCCTTTGTTTTCTTCAATTAGTACGCCCCACCGGGGTGGTCTAGTGAATAACGTACTCGACTGCTGAACCGCCGATCGCGGGATACAATCCAGGCTGCGGTGGCTGCATTTTCAATGGAGGCGAAAATACTATATGTCTGTGTTCTCAGATTTGTGTGCACGTTAAAGAAGCCCAACTTATCAAAATTTCTGGAGCCCTCCACTATGGTGTCCCTCATAATGATATGGTGGTTTTGGGACGTTCAACCCCAAATATCAATCAATCAGTTCCTCTTTAGGGCACCCATACAAGTATTACCAAAACCATTTCAGTCCTTGTTACTGATTATTTCGTTTGCGTCACCCCAGAAGTGGTCTGTATACCTGTCATCTTTTTCTGGTATTATTGGGATTTATTCTCGTCAGCCTATTACAAGTTGGAATATTGTGCTCCAAACAAGTACACTTTCACGTTAAGCACCTTTCAAGAAATTCTTAGGATTGCTAATGAGTTTAAATCAGTAGAGAAGTGGCATCCTTTTCTTCTACGCTTGCACTCGGTATTTCATATTAGAGCAGTGCGCATGCCCAATTTCGTAGCCTGACTTCAATCCTTGCCAACATTATGAAGGTTTGCTCTCTAGGCTAAGTATTGTTTTCAAATACTGTGTAATTTTAATAAACATATCAATGTGAAACATACGCAAATGAAAACGACCGTTATTCTAAGCTCAGAGAACAAATCGTTGTGTATAAAAACTGAAAGTTTTGCATAAAAGGCCGAAGCAATTAATATGATAGAAACATATTCGAATGTTTTCCGAAGTAAGGCTAGCATTTTAGGGGCAACATCATTTTTAGTAAGCATGAGCTTGCTTAGTAACCAAGTTTCCTGCAGTGTGGCCGCATGACGCTAACGACGGCTAAAACAATCCGAGACTGTCCGTAAAATTTCTATTGCAAAAAAAAGCTGTCCAAGGATTCGGGCTTCAGAGCATTGTGGCGGTCCTGCCTATTGTACGTCCACCACTGTTATGACCCTTACGCAATCAGAAAACACAGCATTGATTTTAAATAAGCTAGTAGCAGCTATCCTTCTGGACTCCCACCCCCAAACAAAAAAAAATATTAGACACCGTAGACCACAGTATACTGCTAAATAAATTACCACAATACTGTTTCCATGGAACCAATTTTGGACTTCTTTCGACTACCTGAAACCTCCCACAAGTTGTAATAATTAATGATTTCTTGTCTTTTATGAGTCACTTGAATACTGGTGTTGCCCAGGGTTCTGTGCTAGGACCATTGCTTTTTTCATTGTATATAAACGACCTTTCGTTGATAATAAATTTTTCTAACATACTCATGTACGCTGACGATACCTGCGTGCTATAGTAACAAGTCAAAATCTGCGTGATCTAGGTCAAAGTCGAACTACGAATTAGATAAGGTTACTCATTAATTATGAAGGAGTCAACTATCTGTAAGTACCAATAAAGCCAAATGTATTACATTTTACTTTAAGTTAAAATTTATCATTTCTAGTATTATATACTTTAAGATTACTGATTCTGTGATCGAGCAAGTAAACACAATAAATATCTTGGTGTTACTATAGATAATACCTTACATTGGCAGAGACAGATTTAGCATATGTGTTTCAAATTAGCCATGGATGTCATTCACTTACTCTGGCTCTTCAACCTTTTAGTAGTACTACTCTACGAATACTATATTGTGCTTACATTCCTTGTCATGTATTATATTGCATTGAGTCTTGGAGCGGCAGGTACAGAACTTACCCGGACCCAGTTAGGCGACTTCAGAAACGGGGTGTAAAAATTATTACTCATTCGAAGTACAATCACCCCAGTGAACTTCTTTTTCCCTGATTACTTATTTTGTAATTCGATAAGCTATGAAAATTAAAACTAGCCAAATAAGCATACACAGTAAACAACTTCCAGCACCTATTTATTGTGTCGATGTTTCCTGCATCTTCTCGTCCTACCAAACAACTATACCCTTGTTAAATGCATACTCCTTGAACTACGAACGTATATGATGAACGGTTTTTACAGTTCGCTGGTATTATGATCGGGAATGCCATACCTTTTGAAATAAAACTGTGTTCAAATTTTACTTAGACAACAAGAAAACATAATTTAGAAGAACTTTCTGGTTTAAAATTGGCCGGTCATGTTTAGTGCGATGGCCTTCCTATTTCATTATATATGTAGAGGTCGTCCTTTTTTTCCTATTCCTGTGTTGTAATAGTTTGCTTTTTTAGGGGCGAAGCTCCTTAGGGCGTGGGCTGTGCGTCCCCTGTAGCCTGAATGTAGCCACCTCTAGTTTAGTTCTTGCAGTGTTTACTAGATGGCGGTACCGTCCCCTGTATGTATCCACCTCTAGTTTAGTTCTTGCAGTGTTCACTAGATGGCGGTACCGTCTCCTGTATGTAGCCACCTCTCGTTTAGTTCTTGTAGTGTTTACTAGATGGTGGTACTTGTAGCTGATGATGAAAAGATGCAAGATGTTATAAACTAGAAAGCGGTACTTGTAGTTGATCAAAGACGCGAGATCTTATAAAATAGGAATGATGTCACATATGGCGCGTGTCATTGGTTGAAGGCAATCGTTCGATTTAGTGCGGTGACGTACTCTAGGAGGAGCGATGTAATAAAATCGAGTGGGCAAAATGTACAGAGGATTCATGGTTTACCAGGTTTACCTCCGGGGCTTCGCCCACTCATCATCATTCACTTCGTAGATATGGCGGAATTTTTTGTTCTTTGTGTGATCATTCATTTACTGTGCTTTTTTCAGATTCTTTCTTAGATATTTTATAGCCTCTGAGTTATGCTTTTCCGAAGTGCCCTTATGAAATGTATCTTTTTGGACCCAAACTAGTCAAAAGTAATGAGTTCATTGAGTGTGTGCAAAATATATTAACATAAGTGAGCCATAAAATTTCAATTCCAACGTCTCGCTGAACTGAAGTCCCGTACGCAGCTCGCACAGGTAGCTGGTACTGCAAATACATTTTTCGCAGCCATAGTAAGCTTGCGATATTTAAGCTTCTTGTCCCTCCAAATGTACCCCAAATGCAGGAGAGGTGGAATATTCTAATAATCCATAGTCACAAAGCTATCTTTGTCTTCTAATTACTACCTGCTAGAAAACAATTTCTGCACAACTTCAATATCTTGGGCTTCATTAGGGCTTGTCCCCTGGCCCGCTCCTCCCGATAAGTGCAAAGTAGCCAGGGCCCGGCAAGGGCCTGAGCTGAAAAGATGTTGGACTACACGAATCAAGCCCTTGTCTGGCCTGGCTCGGTCTTTCAAGCTTCCCGCAGCCCGTGCACACCTGCAGTTCATGTTCATAAAGCTCACAAAGTTCACTAGAACTTTATTCGGTAAACCATTTTTAACCTGGTTGCTTGGTTACTGTTAGCCCGTAATGTCAGCCAAGATAGCATTACTGACACAGATAGAGTGTGTTCTAAGGTATCAGTTCTGAAAATAATGCAGATGTTTTATAGTGGCCCTGTTTTTGAAAGAGGTTCTGCTGCACTTTTCTTAGAAGCCATGGAATAGATTGACGAAAGGCGCTTATTGCATCAAAAAGGGATCACCGCACAAATTTTTATACTCTGTGCAGTACGAACGCAGTTACAAAGATTTGTCGTGCACTGCAATTGCTTTATTCTCTCGTCCCAGCAAAAGCGCTCGAAACTAATTAAGAAGGAAGGTGTCACACGCGCTCCGTGACCTCAACTATTTCTATCTCTTCGTTTTCTTTTCGAACACGCGGCTTTTCAGTGCGCCAGCACGCGTGGTCACGTCGCTGCCTCCCGTGGCAGCCCGAGTTTCTCCTCACTGTGCCAGGCTTAAGTAATCCAATGACGTGATCCTTCGGACATTAAGCAATGATTTTTTTACTATGTGGCACTACCAAAAAAAAAATTTGTGACTACCTGTAGAGGGAAGAGTAAACGATTTCTTGCCGACTTTTTAAATATAATATAGATTCAACGCCATTGATTTTGAGAATATATTTCAAATACAAGGCCACATATGCACGTGCTTTGATAATTGCCTGGCGTGTATTTGGGACCGCCGTCTAGTAATTGGCAGCGTATTCTGACCATGCTCTAAACGTGTTGCAGGGCTTCTTTAAAAGCTGAAGCAAAGGTAAATATGCAAAATCTTGGTGTCGTAGCACTCCAAGCCAAAGGCTGGCAAGTGCTGCGAGACTGGTGAGGCCAGTACTTCTGTTAACACCAACGGCTCAAGCAGCAGCAGCAGCCGCAGCAATAAAAATAATAATAATCAAATAATCAATCAGTCATTTATTTCACGTGCCTTGCAACAACCAACAATAAAAAATACAAATAAAGAATACAAAGAATGTTTAAAACAATAAACAGGAAAAAGAAAATACAACACCGACACTCTTCAGGAAAATGAAATTAAGTGTGAAAATACGCCGAAAAAATAAATCAGTGCAAAACGGCAAGAATAAAAGGACACGACGAGAAAAGAAGAAAGCAACAGTAAAATAAACAGAAACATCCACAGCTATGTAGAAACCTCACCTAAAGACGGAATGGGAAGAATATGTACATTGTAAAAAATTACGTTAATACAGTGCAAAGCTGAGATAACAACAGGGACAGTGGACTGTGAAAAACATCAAGATCATGAAAAATGGCATTAGCTTTTGTATTTTGTGAATAGCAAAGTGCTGAAAGAAGTTGGTAGGTACATAAAATGGTTGATTCTCTCTGGTTATCTTATGCGGAATCCAAAAATTTACCCAACTGGGACGTAAAGGGCAGGATAGCATTAGCCCCGAGAAGTTGGAGTGGCACCGCCTGCTGGGAGGCTTGCATGACGTCACGGCACAGACTCTCGCAATCTTGCTGTGTCGCGCCTATGCATAGCACTCGCTCGCTTCGAACGCCGTTGCGCTTCCAGCGTTCACTTTTCGCTTGTTTCACGCATAAA